AAGAGCTGGAAAAGAAGGCAATATCTCAAATCCCCCAAAAACCGAACGAAACACAGTTCAGGGAGTCAACTGACAATTTTATTCACGGCTGTTAGCCTATGCATGCTCTCTATTCTAAAACACACGAATACATTTTTACACCAGGTTAACACAGCTATTTCAGACAACCTTTAAATGTTCTGCAATATGACCTAAAGTGGCTAGGTTTGCCACAATGCTCCCCCAGAACCAAGCCGGCATACACAGTCTGATCCCAACGGATCGGCTTGGGGATGTCCGGAGGAGTACTCACAGATCACTTCTCAAGGTCAGTCTGTCTAGATAACCCGTCGGCGTTACCATTTTGCTTTCCTGGGCTGTAATGAATAGTGAAGTCAAAAGGATGCAGCGCCAAACTCCAGCGCAGCAGCATTGTCCCCCGCCACACGGTTCAGCCACACCAACGGGTTGTGATCTGTGAGTAGGGAAAAAGGTTGTCCATATAAATAAGGCTACAACTTTTTGAGGGCCCACACCACGGCCAGGCATTCTTTCTCAATGGCGGCGTAGCTCACTTCACGGGGTAATAACTTTCGGCTTAAGTAAACTACGGGATGTTCTCCACCATCTGCTCCAACTTGGCTCAGCACTGCTCCCAATCCAAACATTGAAGCGTCTGTGTGGACAAGAAATCGGTTAGTTGGATCAGGAGCAGCAAGTACAGGTGCATTGGTTAAAGCAGTCTTGAGTTGTTGGAACGTCTGATCACACTCTGGGGCCCAGATGACCTGTCAAGGAAGGTTTTTGTGGGTCAAGTCAGTCAGGGGTTTGGCCAGGGCACTATAATTGGGTACGAATTTTCGGTAGTACCCTGCAATACCCAGGAAGGCTAGCACTTGGGTTTTTGTCCGGGGGGTAGGCCACTTAGCAACTGCTTCAATTTTTGCTGGTTCAGGCTTTTGCTGTCCACTCCCTCCCCGATGCCCCAGGTACTGTACCTCTGCCATCCCTATGTGACACTTGCTGGGCTTTAGCGTCAACCCTGCCTCTCCGATACGGTCAATGACTGCTCCAATATGTCGCAGGTGGTCTGGCTATAGATGGCGATATCATCCAGGTATGCACATGCATACTCCTGAAACCCATCCAGTAGCCGATCCACCATCCGTTGAAAGGTAGCCGGAGCGTTTTTCATCCCGAATGGCATGACGCGAAACTGATACAAGCCAAACGGGGTGACAAACGCCAACTTGGGGATGGCATCCTCGGTTAGTGGAATCTGCCAGTACCCTTTGCATAAATCTATTGTACTAAGGTACTGGCCTCGTGCCATTTTGTATAGCAGCTCGTCTATCCGGGGCATCGGGTAGGCATCAGACACTGTTTTGTCATTTGGCCTCCAGTAGTCTACACAAAAGCGTGTTGTGCCGTCCTTCTTGAGTACCAGCACTACCGGCGATGCCCAGGGGCTATCGGAATGTTCTATAACCCCTAGCTGCAACATTTCCTCAATTTCCTTCCTCATATGTTCCCTGACCGCTTCCGGGATAGAGTATGGGGTTTGCCGCATAGGTAGCTGTCCGGGGGTCTCAACTCTGTGAGTAGCAAGCGGGGCGTACCCTGGTAAATTGGAGAAAGTGGCTCCCTTAGCCGCGATTAACTCCTGTACCTGGGCATGCTCCTGAGGACTTAGCCCTTCCCCCAGCTGAACACCTGTGGAGGCCTCTGCCTGATCTTCCCGCTCTAATAAGTCAAGTAGCGGAAGATTCTCATGATCCTCAGAGGCTGAAGCGTAGGGTTTGAGCATATTCACGTGGAGCATGCGTCTCTTCCCTGTCCCTGAGCAGGGGCCAATCACATAGGTGGTGTCACATCTCTGTTCCACCACCTGGTATGGGCCTTGCCAGATGGCCTGCAGCTTGTCATTGCGAACAGGTTTTAAAATCAAAACTTTCTGTCCCACGTGAAAGCTGCGGTCTCTGGCTCCCCTATCATACCAGCGGCACTGGCGTTGTTGGGCCGTCTGGAGGTTGCTCCGTACGATCTGGGTTAGTGCCTCCAAGCGGTCCCTGAGCTCCAGCACATATGGTACAATGGGTGTCCCATCTGTACTAATTTCCCCCTCCCAGTGCTCCCTAATTAAATCTAAAGGTCCTCGCACCCTTCTCCCAAACAGTAGTTCAAAAGGAGAAAAGCCTGTGAACTCTTGGGGGTACCTCTCTGAAAGCGAATAGCAGATGGGGTAGGAATCGCTCCAAGTCCTTATAGGCCTCTCCAAAGGCACGGAGCATCTGCTTTAACGTCCCATTAAACCTTTCACATAACCCATTAGACTGCAGGTGGTACGCAAAGTTCACGATAGGTTTAATGCCACATATTCTCCATAGTTGGTGGGTCACCTCGGCCGTGAACTGCATACCCCTATCTGATATGATCTGCTGGGGGAACCCCACTCGGGAGAATACTTTCATTAAGGCCTCGGCCACTGTCTCGGCGTGGATATTAGAGAGTGCTACTGCTTCGGGGTACCGGGTGGCGTAGTCTACTATGGTCAAGATATATCTCTTGCCGGAGGGATTGGGTTTTGGTAAGGGCCCTACTATATCTACGGCCACTCTACTAAATGGTTCGTCTATGATAGGCAGTGGGCATAATTTGGCCTTGTGGCGGTCACCCCTCTTGCCTACTCGCTGACAGATGTCACATGTCTGGCAGTACTGCCGCACGTCCTTGGATATACCCGGCCAGAAAAAAGCGTGGGTCAAGCGGTATCGGGTGCGAGTCATCCCCAGATGCCCAGACAAGGGGATGTCGTGAGCGATCCGAAGAAGTTCCTGTCTACATTTCTGGGGGACCACTAGCTGTCTAGTAATCACATTCACAGATCCCCCCACTACCCTTTCAGAAATGCGGTACAGTAACCCCTTTTCCCAGGTATACCGTTCTCCCTCTAATCCGGCCTGGTCTGAGATAACCCTATCCCTGTATACTTTTAATGTGGGCTCTATCTGAACCTCAGCCTCAAATTCAGTCGGGGTATCCCAGGCAGGGGCGGACTGAGAGCCTTTGGGGCCCCCGGGCAAAATTAGATCCCAGGCCCTTTAAAGGCCAAATATATGTGCATTAAATAAATTTTAAATATAACTCATAATACGGCATTCCTTTGGATGTGTATATTGTGAAAACCTGTGTATCAATGCATGTTTGTATTTGAGTCTGTGTGAATGCACTTGTGCATGTCTGGATGACTACATGTGCTTTTTTGTATATAATGTCTGTGTGAATGCATATGTGACAGGTGACAGAGTGTGTGAGGGAGAAGGTGACAGGTGACAGAGTGTGTGAGGGAGAAGGTGACAGGTGACAGAGTGTGGGAGGTTGTGACAGGTGGCAGAGTGAGGGGGTACCTGGTGGCAAAGTGAGGGGGTACCTGGTGGCAGAGTGAGGGAGGGAGGGGTTGAGTGGTGGCAGAGTGAGGGGGAGACACAGTGAGTGGGGGTGACTGGTGACAGAGTGAGGGAGTGGGTGACTAGTGACAGAGGGAGGGAGAGCGGATGACTAGTGACAGAGTTAGGGAATGGGCATAGGCGTGCGCACGGGGTGTGCCGGGTGTGCCTGGGCACACCCTAATCCCCGTGGCACGCCTATGGTTTGAGTCCTGCACTTTTTTTGAGCAGGAACGCTGTTCCTGCAGGCACTCAGCGCCCCACTCACCTCTTGCCCCTGTCATGGGGGGGTCAAGAGGTGATGGATTCCCCCCCCCCTCTCCATCTCAGCCGCGGCGAGGGAGCTCTCTGCTGTCGGCGCTCTGCTCTCTCTCGCCGCGCGCTGATGCCGGGAGCCGGAATATGACGTCATATTCCGGCTCCCGGCTACAGCAGACAGCCCGCGCGGCGAGAGGGAGCAGACAGCAGAGAGCTCCCTCGCCGTGGCTGAGATGGAGAAAGGCGCCCGCCCCACTGGACCCCAGGGACAAGTCCACCAGCACTCCAGGTAGGAGGCTGGGTGGACATTTTTTTTAAATTAAAATATAATAATTTGTTCTTGTGTGTGTGTGTGTGTGAGTGTCTGTGTGTGTCAGTGAGTGTGTGTGTGAGTGTCTGTGTGTGTGTCAGTGAGTGTGTGTCTGTGAATGTATGTGTGTGTGTGTCAGTGAGTGTGTGTGTGTGTGAGTGTGTGTCTGTGAGTGTATGTGTGTGTCTGTGTGTGTCAGTGAGTGTGTGTCTGTGTGTGAGTGTCTGTGAATGTGTGAGTGTGTGACTGTGAATGTGTGTGTGTACGCATATATATATATATATATATATACACACACACACACACACGCAGAGCCGGCGCTATCTGAGTGCCGGCTCTGCTCTAAGCCTCCATGGGCCGGCGGGGAGACCAAAGATCTACCTCACCGGCCCACAGCAGCATGGAGGGAGGCAGGAGAGGACCCAGGGAGCTCTAGACAGAAGCTCCGCCAGGTTCCTCTCGCGATATCTGAGTGTTGCTGCGGCACTCTCCACTGGACCACCAGGGATGGCACATGGCAGCAAGGATTTACTAATCTGCCAAATCCCTCCAAACATACAGCACACACACATACAGCACCTACACACATACAGCTCACACACACACAGTACACTAACCGCACCCTCACAAACACACACAGCACCTTTAAAAAAAAACGCAACACCCTCACACACAGCACACTAACAGCACCCCCACAAACACACACACACACACACACAAACAGCACCCTCACAAGTACACGACACTCACACAAACAGCACCCTCACAGGACAAACATACACACACAAACACACACACACACACCCTCACATCACACTAACAGCACCCTCACACACACATCACACTAACAGCACACAGCACACACAGCAGTGTTTGTGTGTGTATATATCTATATATAGATATATACACACAGACACACGCGGCGTGTGTTTGTGCTTTAGGGTGCACACCCTAATGCAATAGGCTGCGCACGCCTATGGGAATGGGTAACTAGTGGCAGAGGGAGGGAGGGAAGAGATGACTAGTGGCAAAGTGATGGAGGGAAGAGGTGACTAGTGACAGAGTGAGGGAGTGACTAGTGACAGAGTGAGGGAGTGACTAGTGACAGAGGGAGGGAGTGACTAGTGACAGAGTGAGGAAGGGGGTCTCTCTGTCACTAGTCACTCCCTCCCTCACTCTGTCACTGTGTCACCCGCTCCCTCACTCTGTCACTAGTCACCCCCTCACTCACTGTCACTAATCACCCCCTCACTCACTGTCACTAATCACCCCCTCTGTCCCTAGTCACCCCCTTCCTCACTCTGTCACTAGTCACCCCCTCACTCACTGTCACTAGTCACCCCCTCTGTCCCTAGTCACCCCCTTCCTCACTCTGTCACTAGTCACCCCATCCCTCTCTCTGTCACTAGTCACTCCCTCCCTATCTCTGTCACTGTGAAGGGACAGAGTGAGGGAGGGAGTGGGTGACTAGTGACAGAGTGAGGAAGGGGGTGACACAGTGAAAGAGTGAGGAAGGGGGTGACACAGTGACAGAGTGAAGGAGGTGGTGACTGTCACTAGTCACCCCATCCCTCCCTCTGTCACTAATCACCACCTCTCTCACTCTGTCACTAGTCACCCCTTCCCTCTCTCTGTCACTAGTCACCCCCTCCCTCACTAGTCACATCCTCCCTCACTCTGTCACTAGTCACACCCTCCCTCACTCTGTCACTAGAGTGAGGGGGTGACTAGTGACAGAGTGAGGGGGTGACAGGTGACAGAGTGAGGGAAGGAAGGGGTTACTAGTGACAGAGTGAGGGGATGACTGGTGACAGAGTGAGGGAGGGAGTGGGTGACCAGTGACAGAGGGAGGGGGTGACACAGTGACAGCATGAGGGAGGTGGTGACTAGTGACAGAGTGAGGGAGGTGGTGACTGTCACTAGTCACCCCCTTCCTCACTCTGTCACTAGTCACCCCTTCCCTAACTGTCACTAGTCACCCCCTCCCTCACTCTGTCACTAGTGTGACGGGGTGACTAGTGGCAGAGTGAGGGAAGGAAGGGGTGACTAGTGACAGAGTGAGGGAGGTGGTGACTGTCACTAGTCACCCTCCTCCCTCACTCTGTCACTAGTCACCACCTCCCTCTGTCACTACTCCCTCCCTTCTATCACTAGTCACCCCCCGCGTTCCTTACTCTGTCACTAGTCACCCCCTCCCTCACTCGGTCACCTGTCACGCCCTCACTCTGTCACGCCCTCACTCTGTCACTAGTCATCCCTTCACTCAAGTGACAGAGTGAGGGAGGGTGGGACTAGTGACAGAGAGAGGGAGGGGGTGACTAGTGACAGTAAGGAAGGGGATGACTAGTGACAGAGTGAGAGAGGGGGTGACTAGTGACAGAGTGAGGGAGGGGGTGACTAGTGACAGACTGAGGGAGGGAGGGGGTGACTAGTGACAGAGTGAGGAAGGGGGTGACACAATGACAGAGTGAGGGAGGGGGTGACTAGTAACAGAGTGAAGGAGGTGGTGACGGTCACTAGTCACCCCATCCCTCCCTCTGTCACTAATCACAACCTCCCTCACTCTGTCACTAGTCACCCCCTCCCTCTCTCTGTCACGAGTCACACCCTGCCTCACTCTGTCACTAGTCCCATGTCCCTCACTCTGTCACTAGAGTGAGGGGGTAACAGAGTGAGGGAAGGGGTGACTAGTGGCAGAGTGAGGGGATGACTGGTGACAGAGTGAGGGGATGACTGGTGTCACGTGTCACTAGTCACCACCTCCCTCACTCTGTCCCTAGTCACTCCTCCCTCTGTCACTAGTCACCCCCTTCCTCACTGTCACTAGTCACCCCCTCCCTCTCTGTGTCACTAGTCACACCCTCCCTCACTCTGTCCCTAGAGTGAGGGGGTGACTAGTGACAGAGTGAGGGGGTGACAGGTGACAGAGTGAGGAAAGGGGTGACTAGTGGCAGAGTGAAGGAAGGAAGGGGTGACTAGTGACAGAGTGAGGGAGGGGGTGACACAGTGAGAGTGAGGGAGGTGGTGACTAGTGAAGGAGGTGGTGACTGTCACTAGTCACCCCATCCCTCCCTCTGTCACTAGTCACCCCCTCCCTCACTCTGTCACTAGTCACACCCTCCCTCACTCTGTCACTAGAGTGAGGGGGTGACAGGTGACAGAGTGAGGGAAGGAGTAACTAGTGGCAGAGTGAGGGAAGGAAGGGGTGACTAGTGACAGAGTGAGGGGATGACTGGTGACAAAGTGAGGGAGGTGGTGACTAGTGACAGAGTGAGGGAGGTGGTGACTGTCATTAGTCACCACCTCCCTCACTATGTCCCTAGTCACCCCTCCCTCTGTCACTAGTCACCACTTCCCTCCCTCACCCTGTCACTAGTCACCCCCTCCCTCACTCTGTCACTAGAGTGAGGGGGTGACTAGTGACAGAGTGAGGGAGGTGGTGACTAGTGACAGAGTGAGGGAGGTGGTGACTGTCATTAGTCACCACCTCCCTCACTATGTCCCTAGTCACCCCTCCCTCTGTCACTAGTCACCACTTCCCTCCCTCACCCTGTCACTAGTCACCCCCTCCCTCACTCTGTCACTAGAGTGAGGGGGTGACTAGTGACAGAGTGAGGGAAGGGGTGACTAGTGGCAGAGGGAGGGAAGGAAGGGGTGACTAGTGACAGAGTGAGGGAGGTGGTGACTGTCCCCCTTCCCTTGTGTCTCTCCCCCACTGTCTCTTTCTCCCTCTATTCCCCCTCTGTTTGATTTCCCCCCTCCCCTTGTGTCTCTTTATTCCCCATCTTCCACCTCCCATTTACCTGAGAGGAGTCAGGGGGGCCGGCCGCATTCCACGCTGGAGCCGCCGGTCCGGCGGCCCTCCTCCTGTCACTGATGGGGAGGAGCGTGTTTCTGTACCAGCGGCTCCCACAATCCCCAGCACAGGAACCGCGAGGGAGCATGGTACAGAAACATGGCTGCCACCCGGCCCGGCGGCTCCAATGAGGAATGCGGCCGCCAGCCCACCAACCCCCTCAGAGTGTGTGCCACCGGACCGGCCACCCGGTGGCACACACATGCTCAGCGCAGCCCCCAGATGCCGCGGCCCACTAGGAAATTTCCCGGTATCCCGGTGGGCCAGTCCGGCCCTGGGTGTGACTAGTGACAGAGTGAGGGAGGGTGTGACTAGTGACGGGGGGGTGACTAGTGAGGGAGGGTGTGACTAGTGACAGAGGGAGGGGTGACTAGTGACAGTGGAGGGGTGACTAGTGAGGGAGGGTGTGACTAGTGACAGAGGGAGGGGTGACTAGTGACAGTGGAGGGGTGACTAGTGACAGTGGGGGTGTGAGTTGACAGTGAGGGGGGTGACTAGTGACAGAGGAGGGGTGACTAGTGACAGTGGGGGTGACTAGTGACAGTGAGGGGGTGTGACTAGTGACAGTGAGGGGGTGACTAGTGACAGTGAGGGGGAGAGGGGTGATTAGTGCCTACCTTTCTCTCTGCTCCTTTTGGTCTCCCTGGCTGCTGCTCCTTCTCCTCGCTGGGCTCTGTGTGAGATGTAAATAGTTTTATTTTATTTTTTTGCCGTTCCAGTTGGAGAGATCTCTGATCTCTCCAGCTGAGGCATGGCTGTGCTGCCGGGCCCCTGACTGCCTCGGGCCCTCGGTCCATGACCGGTCTGCCCGAGTGGTCAGTCCGCCCCTGCTCACAGGTAACATGGGTCGTAGGAAGGTCCCTGTCTTTTACCTGAGCCCCAGAGTGCGTTGCTGGAGCCGTGGTGCGAGCCTGTTACCTGGTGGCTACTGGATGAACCTCTTGGAGTGGAGCCTGAGGAATAAAGGCGGAAGTCATTCGACCCAGGTCGTTTCCCAATACGACATCCGCTGGCAGTTTCTGCATCAGGCCCACCTCTACCATGCCCTCCCCAACACCCCAATTCAAATGTACTTTTGCGGTGGGTAAACTGTATACCGCTCCCCCTGCTACTCGCACTGCTACAGATCCGCCGGTGTGTGGAGCCTGGAACCAAATGAGGGGCTACCAGAGTCAGAGTGGCTCCCGAATACCGGAGCCCTTGGACCTCTTTCCCTTCCAGGGTTACTAGCTGGCGATGGTGTTGCCTGTTGTCTGTGGCTTGTACCGACATCACATCGTGTAGTATCCCCAGGGGCTCTTCGGTCTGATTAAAAAGTATCTCCTGGGTTGCTGGCTCCACTTGGTAGTGGTGGGCGGCTGCTCTTGGTGCTGGATTCTGCCGTACCTGGCTCCATGCTTGGCGGCTCCGGTTCTGGGTACACTCTCTCGCCATGTGGCCCCATTGTTTGCACGTATGGCACTGTATACTAAGAATGGGTCCAGTTTAACAAAATTGGAAACTGCAAATAAGCTGTATTTTTCGGTTTTGGCTCATTGGGTGCACAGGTACCTATTTCTTCTGGAAACCATTTTCTACATATGTGCAGATCGGTGGAGGCTGGTCTATAGGGACAGGTGGGGCAGCATTTAAAAATAAAAATCATTGGCATGGTATGGCCCAAAATATGTCGTGGTTACTTCTGCTGCCCTGAGGCTGAGCAATCAATGATGTTGGTATTTTGGGATATTTAAAACGAAAACAAAAAAGCACCCCTTTTTTTGTGCACGTAGACTCTCCACACAAGCTTTCCATGGGATAATCAGATTATGTATGTGGCAAACCTAGCCACTTTAGGTCTTATTGCAGAACATTTAAAGGTTGTCTGAAATAGCTGTGTTAACCTGGTGTAAAAATGTATTTGTGTGTTTTAGAATAGAGAGCATGCATAGGCCAACAGCCGTGGATAAAATTGTCAGTTTACTCCTGGAGCCGTGAATAAAATTGTCAGTTGACTCCCTGTACTGTGAACCCCCACGGGAATTCAATTGAAATTTGCACTGACCTGTGTATAAGTCGACCCAGCGTTTTTACATGAAATTTACAAACAACATTTCTCAACTTATACACGAGTATATACGGTATATCGTTACAATGGCACCTGTCAAGGGGTGATATATTGGGCAGCAAGTGATTTATGTGTTGAAAGCTGCAAAAATGGGCAAGTGAAAAGGTTGGTGGAGGTACTGTTATGCTCGGGGAAAAATTTGGTTGAGGAACCACCTGTCCTTGACATGTACCACCTACCTAGAGATTGTTGCAGCCCATACACCCCTTTACTTTGAATTCCTGACAGTTCTTACTTTAGTAAATGATCTTTCATATACCACATTTCTTACCTCTGCCCCATAATGTTAACTACAGCTATCCATTCTTATCCCGAACCACCTCTGTCCATGTTTTACAGCACCCCAAGAGATGCATGACCCAAGGTTCTGATTAGGATTACCCAAAGCAATCTTTCCTCAAGTGTTCTATAAATATGACATTTAAGGAACATATGACAATACTTCTAAAAAGAGAAAGTAATACTTTACTGCAAAACAGGATACAGATAGATACGATAAAGTTTCATGCGATACTAGGGCAAGAGTTCCGCTGTGTTAAATAAATATTATTATAAATGTGAACACTAAATGTACATATGATTTTTTTAGTTTTCGGGAGTTTTCCAGCTACTAAAAAAAGAACAGACGTCTGGTTTCTTGAAAACAAAAAATATCACCAAAGACATCATCTTCCATTGTCCACTTGTCATGGCCTTGTTTGGAAAACAAGTTGGGAAAATTATGCATTTAGATTGTTAAAGTGGATCGCTCTCCTTCTGACACTTAATATAAGGGTCAGTGACACTTGTCCAGTTAATATTTATTCTACAAATATATTAGACATATTAAAGGAGACAGGTACAACCATAAGAATTCTGCAAAGTGCAGTGTATATGACTATATGTTGCATCCACTGGGCATAGATGGTGTACTCGCTCTATTACATGGGAAGGAGACCTTTGGCACTCCAGATGTTGTGGACTACATCTACCCTGATGCTCTATCAGCATTATGGCTGTAAGAAGATTATGGGAAATGTAGTCCAGAACATCTGGAGTGCCAAAGGTTGCCTACCAATGCTCTAGTATTATAAGGAGTTTTGGTAATGTTGTACTCACAAGCCTAGTAAAGTCCATGACCCCATTGTTTGCATGGGCTCATGATACATTGGAATTGCATATCAGGTCCTAGCCGATGGTGGGTAAGGATCCAGAGGCTTGCTTAGATTATTTGATAACTTCGATATCATAGATCTTTGGCTCAAAGAGAAAAAAGATCTTTGACCAGTTGGACTGGCTGTATATGCAAAGAACTCTCTAACATCTAGGCTTTAATGAGAATATGTTCAGGTAGATACACTATATATTTGACCAAAGGCTAGAATAAATAAACTGAGCTTTCACATATCCCATCATAATAACTGGAAGGGAAGGATGTCCCATAATGACTGCTACTGTTTGCGTTGACTTAGGCACCATTACTGGAGACCAAATGGTCTTACAGACTACTAACAGAGACAGCCCTACACAAAGCTACTACGTACAAGGCTAGATTTTTTTTTTTTGTTTGTTTAGAACTGCTTCCAATTTCATTGACCATTATTATTTCACAATTTAAGTAATGTTAGTAACCTAAAGTAAAGTTAGTTAAACATGGAGATATCAGAAAATGTTAATGCTGTGATCTCTTCTCTTGCCGTTCCCCTTGTTCCTTTCACTTGGTGCTTGGATTATGTAGCGGAATGGGTTTTGCCACAATACCTTCCTTTTGCTAAGGGCTGTCCACCCACCCTATTTGTTACTGTATTTCAGTTACTTGCCCTGTTGGTTACATGAGGAAACAAGTAACAATGTAATATTAACTTTCGTTCGTCTGGTTGTTCGGTAAGAATCCTATTTCCACTATCTTACACCATATTGTTTGACAAACGAACAAACTACCGAACAACCAGGCCACCCCGGAGAGGAGCGTGGCATCAATTGACCTCCCTAACTTGGTTCACACTGCTTTAATTTCCAATCACACAAATTAACTGGGTGTTCCCTGGGTGGCCGCTGTTCAGCATACGAATTGCACCAGCGGTGTTTGGTGTACAGATTATATGACAGTGGTAAGGATGCCTTCTGAAATATCCATGATTTAGTATAAAAACTAATTCTTTCTTTCTCTGTTAAATATCTTGAGGGAAGGCATGAAGTTGGTCCTTCCCACACATCTCATGGTTTGGTAGAGGTAACTGACAAAACAACTCTTCCTCCAAGATTACTGAATCTCTTCCTAAACGATCCCCATCACATTGACCAAGTCTTACATTGCATCCTTGACTATGAGGACAAGCCAATCCCATATATAGGGAATAAACCATATAGACAGATTCCTTTTAATGCCTTAAGTCTGGAGGTTAAATTCAAATTAGCAGTAAAAAATTTAACAAAAAAATAAAT